TTGAAGGAAGCCCCACCCTCTGAGTAAAAGAGCCAGCGCGTCACTGCAGTTGCTGTTAGAAGTCCCGGTTGCTATAGAAACAGTCAACGTTCTGAGACGTGCGATTTGGACTGCGCATGTGGACTGGCAGGTCAAGCCTGAAAAATAAGCTTTTTTAACGCAACTGGAGCAATAAGGAAGAACATTTATGAGGCAGTTGTTGTCAGATTTCATTGGTGATTTCAAATATGAAATTTAATCGTAAGCTTGTTGAACAGTTTTTGAGAATATGATGTTTCCCCATTCAAAGAGATAGAAGCTGCACTTGCATGCCCTAGAGGCATTTCAAAGATGGCCGCCGAGTGAAATGACTTGTCTTAAAGGGACTTTGGGCAAAGCACAGTAAGAACTGAAGGTGAGTAAAAATGACTTAAGATGTTGAGAATAGTGTTTCTACTGAATTTTGGTGAATTTGTTTCGTGTTTTGGACATCAGCGCTGTTATGCTACTGAAAAAAATAAGTCTTACTAGCGTTTCTCCTTTTAGTTAGTTACTCCCCAAAACTGATGAAAACTCTATCAGTTATTAACCACTGCATATTTGCATGATAACATAAATATTACAAAAGTGAATCGAACATTGCATTTATTTTTAAAATGATTCCAAGGCATTGTCAGACAAAGAAAAAGATCTTTATAAAAACAGGATGTGATATAGACAAGAATAGCTCTTCTACTAGCACCGCTAATTATGGAAATAAGTACTGAAACTAGGACTGCGTATCAAGGCATGAGTGTGTATAAGGTCATGAATATATATAGACACGCATATTCCCATGAATATAAATCTTAATATTAATACAACAGACTCAAACTCTAAGTTAGTCACAGAAGTTTCCTATTAAAAATTATCACATTGGAAAATGATTAAAGTTTGATTATCTTATCATGCTAACAGGCACATAGTCTACTACTTGACCCTCCTCTTCAACTTTCTGAAAAAAAAAAAAAAAAGTATAACATACGTTAAATAAAGAACAATAAGAACAATTAAAGAAAAAATAAATACTGAAATGTAGTAATAATAAATATAAATAATAAAGATGAATAGGAAAATTTTAAATGCCCAGCCTACATAACAGAAAGATGGCCAAAAATATATCAAGAATTAGCCTGAAGTGAAGAATTTCCTGAATGAATGTATGCCATACAGTAGTTTGATTCAGTTTATTTCTCCCTTTATAAGTTTATTTATTGTCATTTATTTTAAACAATTATATGGTTAGTTGTATTTTTTTCCTGCTGTCTGCAACACCTTTACAACATTTTATTCAGTTATTCTAATATTCTGGGTTTTCTCAGTAGCTTTACAAATGCACTCCAGTTCAAAATATGAAAGTAACTTAATCTAACTCCTTTTATTTACCGATAGACTCTTTAATTAAAGCCACAATTGAAAAAAAAAAAAAAGACTTACTCAGAGGTCTTGTATGTCAGCGATTCTCATTGAACAGTTAAATGGCTTCTTCTGGAATTACATTGAAGAAAGAAAATATCTATTACTCTTTATGTTACTGTATGATGGATTACACAGACAAAAACATAACCACACACTGATCTACATCTGACTCACTGCTGAAATGATACAAAGACACACAACATAAATAAATAATCTTACCAATGTATGTGCATTTCTTTCATAGAACGTTGGCTCATAACGACACGAGTGATCTCATCTTCACAAATCTGAACTGTTTGAACAGCAGTAATGGATTAAAACTCAAATAGATGGATGTATAATGGACAAACTGAACTAGATTGTTCTTTACTATATGTTATTTTAGTGCTTTCAAAGTTTAATCACTAGTGCACATTATTAATTAGATATATTTAATGCTGAAATTTTAAAAAGTGCATTAACATATGTATGACATTATTACTTTCAGCCCTGAGTTTAAACAGCCCTGAGCTGCTCGGGGCTGTTTGAACAGTCTTCAAAATATCTTCTTTTGTATTTTACAGAAAAAAATCAAGCTAATTTAAGCTTAATTTTTGGGTGCAGATCACTGCAAAAACCACTAACCACACACATTATTCAGGAGCTAAATGGCGTTACATTCATAAATTATATTAAATTACAATATGAGCTATCAGTTGATTAAAATCAGTTGGTAACACTTGCCTTCTGCATCAGTTTTTCTACATTTCCAGCAGATGCAAAAGATCCCAAATCCAGCGACAATCAACAGAGATCCAACAGCAGCAACAGCAACAGAGATCAAAACAATCAGAGAATCTGAGCCTGGATAATAAAAAGGAAAGTAAAAGAGAGACATTGATGCAAGTTATTGAGTCTGATCTACAACAATAGACAGAGCTTAACGAATAAATGTTAATATCACCACTCCAATACCTGAACATGTGTGACAGAGTTGACTGATGTCCAGATGTTGAGTCTGGTTGCTGATGGGATTGTTGAGCACACAGCTGTAGCTGTTTTTATCCTGATATTCCACCTCCAGAGGTAGAGAGAGACTGATGCTGAGATCAGACACACTGATGCTGGACAATAAACTGTTTCCTTTGTACCAGGAGAGAGTCACATGACTCACATTCACCACTGAACACACCAATGAACAATTCTGCTGTGATGATGAAGAACAGTGTCTGGTAATGTTAGGAACAGGCAGACGAGCTGCAAAACATCAGAGCATAAACTGAAATATGGATAATTTTACACAATCATTTTATTTTCAGTTCAGTGTTTTGAATGAGCGTTTATACGATCTGTCACCTCAAACTATAAAACAAGACAGCACAAACTGTAAAAGACAGCACAAATGATCTCTTCTCACCATATACAGAAACGCTGAATGTTTTTGTTTTTACACCAATTATCTCTAGTTTATAGAGTCCAGCGTGTTCAGATGTGTTGTTTGTGATGGTCAGAGATCCAGTTTGATTGTCCAGCTTCAGTCTATCTCTGAATCTCCCGTCCAAGCCCAGCCCAAGTGACAAAACGTAGTGCAAAAGTAACATAAAACAAATATTTGATTTTAATGGAGTAACGCAGTACTGTAATGGATTACATTTACAGAGTTTGATCAGTTCATATGTCATTAATAGTGGTACACTTCCATGATTTAGTACAATTGCGTTCACATCAGAAGTGAACTGTACCGGATTGTGCATGAACCGTACACCAGACCACCCTTTTTAGATGGACTTGAGTACGGTTCGAGGGTGTGCACCCGAGTTCAACAAACAGCGTTCAGATTATCCAAACGAACCGAATGCTGATGTCAAACGAACCCAGGTGCGCTAGCCCCAGGATGTAGAGGAGAGTTAGGGTGCTTTCACACTTGATTTTATTTCCTAGTCCTAACCAGAGTTTGTGTGCTCCATCCTCCCCCTGCCCCTGCTGGACTGCGTTCATATACATTTTTTTGGGTCCAAACCACGGTTCGATTGCATCATCAAGCCTGCAGCTGTTTACCCTGTTGCTCAGTAACGATGAATTCTGATGTCAATGGAACCTGGGTGTGGAACAAAAGTGTGAAAGCACCCTAAAAGAGACATTCATATAAGTTATTGAGTCTGAGCTACAACAATAGACAAAGATCAGCTCAATGAATAAATGTTAATACTACTACTGCTGTACCTGAACATGTGTGACAGAGTTGAGTGATGTCCAGATGTTGAGTCTGGTTGCTGATGGGATTGTTGAGCACACAGCTGTAGGTGTTTTTATCCTGATATTCCACCTCCAGAGGTAGAGAGAGACTGATGCTGAGATCAGACACACTGATGCTGGACAATAAACTGTTTCCTTTGTACCAGGAGAGAGTCACATGACTCACATTCACCACTGAACACACCAATGAACAATATGATGATGAAGATGATGATGATGAAGTACAGTCTCTGGTAATGTTAGGAACAGGTAGACGAGCTGTAAAACATGAGAGTGAGTGTTTAATACGATCCATCAATTTCAGCTAAGAGAGAGTTGTCAGCACAGAATTTCCACAGTATGTCATCGTATTGACGTATTTCAGTAACATCAGTGTTTATAGTGACAGAATCTCCCTCCATCACTGACACTGACTCACCAAACACATCTGGAGAATAAACTGATTTTACACTGATTAAGGTAATTACAAAGGTAGACCGCTGTAATTAAAAAGCAACATATATTCCATTAACTTTTTTTTTACTTACTAGCACTTCCTTCATCCTGAGGCTTATTCATTTTACTCTTGGTGTGAAAGGGTGTTTACAGTTGCCAAAAATATACCGTTTGGGTTTTTTGTTATTAAAAACAAATGAGCAAGCCCAGCCCAAGTGACAAAACGTAGTGCAAAAGTAACACAAAACAAATATTTGATTTTAATGGAGTAACGCAGTACTGTAATGGATTACATTTACAGAGTTTGATCAGATCATATGTCATTAATAGTGGCACACTTCCATGATTTAGTACAATTGCGTTCACATCAGAAGTGAACTGTACCGGATTGTGCATGAACCGTACACCAGACCACCCTTTTTAGATGGACTTGAGTACGGTTCGAGGGTGTGCACCCGAGTTCAACAAACAGCGTTCAGATTATCCAAACGAACCGAATGCTGATGTCAAACGAACCCAGGTGCGCTAGCCCCAGGATGTAGAGGAGAGTTAGGGTGCTTTCACACTTGATTTGATTTCCTAGTCCTAACCAGAGTTTGTGTGCTCCATCCTCCCCCTGCCCCTGCTGGACTGCGTTCATATACATTTTTTTGGGTCCAAACCACGGTTCGATTGCATCATCAAGCCTGCAGCTGTTTACCCTGTTGCTCAGTAATGATGAATTCTGATGTCAATGGAACCTGGGTGTGGAACAATAGTGTGAAAGCACCCTAAAAGAGACATTCATATAAGTTATTGAGTCTGAGCTACAACAATAGACAAAGATCAGCTCAATGAATAAATGTTAATACTACTACTGCTGTACCTGAACATGTGTGACAGAGTTTGCTTATGTCCAGATGTTGAGTCTGGTTGCTGATGGGATTGTTGAGCACACAGCTGTAGGTGTTTTTATCCTGATATTCCACCTCCAGAGGTAGAGAGAGACTGATGCTGAGATCAGACACACTGATGCTGGACAATAAACTGTTTCCTTTGTACCAGGAGAGAGTCACACGACTCACATTCACCACTGAACACACCAATGAACAATTCTGGCGTGATGATGATCCTGATGATGGTGAAGAACAGTCTCTGGTAATGTTAGGAACAGGCAGACGAGCTGCAAAACACGAGAGAATAATCTGAAATTTGGATAAATTCACAACAATTTTATTTTCTGTTCAGTGTATACAGTGATCGTTTACTTCCTTCAGCCTGAGACTTATTCATTTCACTCTTGGTGTGAAAAGGCCTTTATAGTTGCCAATAAAACAAATATGTAAGACTAGCCTAGGTGACAAAAAAGTAATGCAAAAGTAACATAATGCATTATTTTCCATAAACAGTAGCTAATGTAATTAGTTACTTTTTTATGGAGTAACGCTCCGGTTACTTATGAAACCACAGTTCCCTTTCGAATGGTCTCTTTCGTTGCATTAACACGCTTTGGCGAAACTCCTCTTTACTCTGGTACTGAAGCCTGATTTGTTCCAAGTTCGTGTAGCTGCACAAACAAATGGCTTTCAACCCGCCAAAAGAGGTGGAGCCGAATGCTATATAAGTCGGCTCTGAGCGCCATTTAGTCAGAATCTTTCAACTGAAGCGACAGTCATAGACTAGTGTGCAGCCTTATATCACGGCAGCCTGCGCAACACTAGTTCCCTTCTCTCAGGGAACCGAGGTTATGATAGTAGCCGGAGAGTTCCCTTTTGAACGGTCTCTCCCATTGTTTTAACACACTTTGGGGAATGTATCCAATAGCGGCATGCTATAAGCGAATGCAAAATGAAGCCACTCTGCAAGCCCAGCCCCAGAGCGCTTGCACTGAGGGCTCCTGTAAGCATGAGCTAACAATGAGACCCGAGCCACTTAGGCTAAAGACTACATAAATAAATCCGACCCACTACAAGGGGGATTAGGTGAATTTAAGCAGACAAAATCCGTGCCTGCAAGGCAGGGATGTCCAAGTTTTAAAACCTGGTGAAGGAGGACAGTGACGACCAGCTGGCAGCTGCACAGATATCACCAATAGAAATCCCGCTGACCAAGCCCAAGTGGAGGCCATTCCTCTGGTGGAGTGGGCCCTCACTCCTACAGGACATTGCAAGCCTGCTGAGTTGTAAGCCAGGGCTATAGCATCGACTATCGAATGAGATAGTCTCTGCTTCGTAACCGGCAGCCCTTTAGAGTGGCCTCCGAAGCATACAAATAGCTGCTCTTAGTGCTGAAACAGACCAGAGCGCTCAACATACACTCTATGAGAGTGGATTTGGACCCTGCTCACCTCCTCAATTAGGGAGCGCTAGAAGGGTGATGACTTGTGATCTGAACAGAGTGTAGATAACTTTAGGCACATAGTCGTGTCTTGGCTTGAGGACAACTCTACAGTCGTTAGGCCCAAATTCAAGACATGAAGCACTGATCAGCAGGTCACCCACTCTTTTTTTTCTCTAAAGCCAAAAGGAGGCTGAAGAAAACAAAAATAACATAATTTACTCAACCATTCTTCTCCCCCGAGTTACGTCTTCCGCCGTTTTAGAGAGTATTACAATGCATATGCACGCTTTCCCCTAAGCGTAAACAATGCTTATTATGCAGATTACGTTCATGCGCACGCTTTCCCACCGAAGGTAAACAACGCTGACTTTAGGCACATAGTCGTGTCTTGGCTTGAGGACAACTCTACAGTCGTTAGGCCCAAATTCAAGACATGAAGCACTGATCAGCAGGTCACCCACTCTTTTTTTTCTCTAAAGCCAAAAGGAGGCTGAAGAAAACAAAAATAACATAATTTACTCAACCATTCTTCTCCCCCGAGTTACGTCTTCCGCCGTTTTAGAGAGTATTACAATGCATACGCACGCTTTCCCCTAAGCGTAAACAATGCTTATTATGTAGATTACGTTCATGCGCACGCATTCCCACCGAAGGTAAACAACGCTGATTATGTCAAATACGTTCTTGGGTAGTCTCCAAAATGGCAGAAGACGTAACTCGGGGGAGAACTGTTGAGTAAATTGTTCTTTTTGTTTTCTTTGCGCAAAAAAAAGTATTCTCATAGCTTCGCAAAATTGAAGTTGAGTCACTGATATCACATGGACTGTTTTACCGATGTCCTTACTACATTTCTGGACCTGGGAATATTACAGTTGCGTTGCTCTCTATGGAGGGTCAGAGAGCTCTCACATTTCATCAAAAATATCTTAATTTGTGTTCCGAAGATGGAACGAAGGTCTTACGGGTTTGGAAAGACATGAGCGTGAGTAATTAATGACAGAATGTTCATTTTTGGGTGAACTATCCCTTTAAGCGACAGGGGCCCGAAATCGGCCGACTTGAGCGGCTCGAAGGGAGGGCCCTATAAGGCCCTGAGGACTATAGATAGATCCCAAGTCGGCACCATGTGAGGGTGAGGTGGATTCAATCTGTGAGTTCCCCTCAGAAATGTCAAGACCAGGTAATTTCTGCCGATTGACTGGCCAGCCACGAGAGAATGATTTGCCGTGATGACTGCCTTTGAGCATAAACTTTCTGGAAGGGATGCACCCCTTATCCAGCAGCTCTTGTAGAAAGTTTAGCACATAGGACATGTCGCAAGAGGATGGGACCTTGTTCCGTGCTGCACACCAGTCAGAGAAAACCCACTATTTAAGGGCATAGAGAAGTCTCGTAGACGGGGCCCTAGCCTCCAAAATGGTATTAGTTATAAAGACTCCTAACAAGGGGCCAAACATGAAGGCTCCACAGATCTGTCTGGGGATGTCAAATCATGCCCTTCGATTGCGAGTGGAGGTCCTTCCTCAATGGTATCAGCCAGGGGGCTGCTGATAGCAGCTGAATCATCTCAGGGACCATAACTGTGTGTCGTGTTCTTTAACATTCTGCCTGGAAACAAGATGCCGTGACGCCAAACCCCATAATGGAAGAAGAAAGCCATCATGTTTACAACTGTGATGATGAGTACTTATCAGGATCAACTAAACACTGGATTTTCAAAAGTATGTGGAATATTTAAAGTTTGCAGCATATAATCTTTAAAATATTTCCAAGAGTTTTACACACCGGTCTGTTATTGTGGGGACATTTCCACACCCCTAAACATGACGTGGAACAAAACGAAACGTTATTGGTTTCTTTACCTGTCAGTCATATGGCCTCTTGGGTGGGCCTTGGCTATTCAAAGTGGCCAAGGTTCCCAGATCTTCTGCCGTCATTCTGAAGGTCTGGCTACACAAGACTAATATTGGAGGGGCCACATTTGAAGCAGGCCCAGAGGAATCACAGGGGAAGCAGCTGACATGAGGCCAAGCATCTTTTGGAAAGCCCTGAGGGGACCTGAAGTCCCTAGTCTGAATGACACCGATAGCCACTGAACTGTCATGGAGCGTTCCAGCATGCCTGCATCTGGGCAGAGTCAATAACTGTACCAAAAAGATTACTGGCTGGCTGGGAGACAAAAAGCTCTTGGCTAGATTAATTCTCAACTCAAGCCACTCCAGGTGGCTGAGCAGCAGTGACCTGTGAGCGATGAGTTCCTGTTCTCACCTGGCTAAATTCAGAAAATTGTCACGGTAATTCAAGATGCAGATTACCATCTGCCTCAGAGGTGAGAAAGCCGCATCTACGCACTTCATAAAACTGTGCGGGGCCAGAGACAGTCCAAATGGCAGGACTGTATATTGATAGGCCACTCCCTCATATGCGAATCTCAAGAACGGTCTGTGATAGGGGCTAACGGTCTTTGATGTAAGTTATTGAGTCTGAGCTACAACAGTAGACGAAGATCAGCTAAATGAATAAATGTTAATATCACTACTGCCTTACCTGAACATGTGTGACATAGTTTGCTGATGTTGAGATGTCTTGTCTGGTTGCTGATGGGATTGTTCAGCACACAGCTGTAGGTGTTTTTATCCTGATATTCCACCTCCAGAGGTAGAGAGAGACTGATGCTGAGATCAGACACACTGATGATGGACAATAAACAGTTTCCTTTGTACCAAGATAGAGTCACATGACTCACATTAACCACTGAACACAACAATGAACAATATGATGATCCTGATGATGATGATGATGATGAAGAACAGTCTCTGGTAATGTTAGGAACAGGTAGACGAGCTGTAAAACATGAGAGTGAGTGTTTATACGATCTGTCACCTCAAACTATAAAACAAGAATATGTAAAAAGACAGCACAAATTATCTCTACTCACCATAGACAGAAACACTGAATGTTTTTGATGACCATTTCACACCAATTATGTCTAGTTTATAGAGTCCAGCATGTTCAGATGTGATGTTTGTGATGGTCAGAGATCCAGTTTGATGATCCAGCCTCAGTCTATCTCTGAATCTCCCATCAAGAACATCATCAGATGTGGAAAAGATTTGTTTCTCTCGACTGCTTTCAGCTAAGAGAGAGTTGTCAGCTCCAAATTTCCACAGAATGTCATCATCTTCACGTATTTCAGTAACCTCAGTGTTTAGAGTGACAGAATCTCCCTCCATCACTGACACTGTCTCACCTAACACACCTGGAGAATAAAAAGATTTTACATAGATTAAGGTACAAAGGTAGACCACTGTAATTAAGAAGCAACACGTATTCCATTTTCTTTTTGACTGACAAGCAGAAACTTCTGTCTGATAAACAGTGTTGGGAAGGTTACTTTGGCAATGTAATAGGTTACAGATTCCAAGTTACCCTATTTAAATTGTAATAAGTAGTGGAACTATTTCAATTACTATATTAAAGTAATGAAACTGATTAAATTTGATTACTTTTTGATTACTTTATTAAAATTTCTAACAAATGTTTTCAACTTAATCTTTTGAAACATGTAAACCATGTAGGGTTAACCTTACAGTAGTACACTGGCATCTAAAGATGCTTCAAAAAAACTAAAAAAAACAGTTAATCTTAAAAAAAAAATAATAATAATAATCATATACATAAAACAAAATAGGAAATAAAACAGTTATTAAATGTGGCCCTGGACCACAAATCCAGTCATAAGGGGCTTTTTTTTTTTTTATTGAGATTTATACATCATATGAAAGCTGAATAAATAAGCTTTCCATTGATGTATGGTTTGTTAGGATAGGACAATATTTGAAATCTGAGGGTGCAAAAAATAAAAATAAAAATCAGAATATTGAGAAAATCACCTTTAAAGTTGTCAAAATGAAATTCTTAGCAATGCATATTACTAATCACAAATTAAGTTTTTATATTTTACGGTAGGAAATTTACAAAATGAAATTATCTTTACTTAATATCCTAATTATTTTTGGCATAAAAGAAAAATTAATAATTTTGACCCCTACAATGTATTTTTGGCTATTGCTACAAATATA